CCCCCCCCCCCCCCAGGAGGACAAAGGTGCCCCCTGCCTGCCCACCGGCAGCGTGCCATGAGCTACGGCCTGCCTGCCAGGGGTCCGCAGCTTCACTGGCCCATGGGCTCGCAGAGGGTCCTCCTGGCATCACCCCCCCACGGAGGGAGGAGGAGAGCACGGCACAGGTCCAGGTCTGGCAAACAAGCAGCACCGCAGGAGGGTCCGCACCGGTCTTCGAGCGCATACACGGGGAGTCCCCCAACCTGGGGCTCCCCGCGCTCCCACCGGGCGCCGACGGCACACTTACAGCCACCACGGCTCAGCAACACCGCGGCGGGGCTCAGCCGTCACGGTGCACGCGCTGGTGCTGCAGCAGGTTGGAGGGGTGAGCGAAGCCCTTGTCACAGACGCTGCACTTGTAGGGGGTTTCGCCCGTGTGCACCTTCTCGTGCACGGCCAGGTAAGCCAGGTCCTTGAAGAACTTGTGGCAGAAGCTGCACTTGTAGGGCCGCTCCTGGCTGTGCACGCGGTGGTGCTGGAGGAGCAGAGAGGGCCGGGCGAAGGCCTTCCCGCACGCCTCGCACTTGTACGGGCGCTCCCCCGTGTGTGCCCGCTCGTGGATCACCAGGTAGGACGACTGCTTGAAGGCTTTCCCGCAGGTTTTACAGACGAAGGGGCGCTCCCCGGTGTGCACCCGCTCGTGGGAGGAGAGGGCGTTGGACTGCTTGAAGCCCTTCCCGCAGAGCGGGCAGATAAAGGGGCGGTCGCCCGTGTGCACCCGCTCGTGCACCTTGAGGCTGTGCCCGTAGGTGAACTTCTTCCCGCAGATGCCGCAGACGTGGGGTTTGTCGTCGCAGTGCTGGCGTTGGTGGAGGAGGAGGGCGTTGGAGGTGGGGAAGTCCTTCCCGCAGTCGGCGCACTTGAAGGGCTTCTCGGCGCAGTGGGTGAGCGCGTGACGTTGGAGCTCGTAGGGGGTCTTGAAGCTTTTGGCGCAGCGGGGACAGCGGAAAGGACGTTCTCCGCTGTGGATACGCCGGTGCTCTTGGAGGTTGGAGGAACGCTTGAAGCGTTTGCCGCAGAGCTCGCAGCGGAAGGGTCGTTCTTCCGTATGGACCAGCCGGTGGCTTTTGAAGTCCGAGTGGCGCTTGAAGGAGGCCTGGCAGAGGTCGCAGCGGAAGGGACGCTCCTCGTTGTGTACCACCTCGTGGCTGAAGAGCTCCCAGGCCCGTTTGAAAGCCTTCTCACAGACGCCGCACTGGAAAGGCTTCTCGTCCACGATCACCTCGCGGATTTCCAGCTCGCCCACGCCGCTCGCTGCCCGTGTCGGGTGGACCGGCAACCCCACCGCCGCCTCCTCCAGCTCACCCACCGCGCTCCCCAGTACCAGTTTGGCGGTGGAATAGATGCCGCGCTCGTCGATCAGCTGCACAAAGTCCGGCTTGGGATGGGCATCAGGGGAGCAGGACCGAGACCCTCTCTCCTCCTCCTCTTCCTCGCTGCTCCGCGGGGCCTCCTCCAGCCCGTTCTCCATCTCCCTCTGCCTGAAGTCACCTGTCCGGCCCCAGATCAACCGCAACCTCCTTCCACGGGAGGGTCCTGGCTCTTCAGGGCTCTCCCCCTGCCCTGGGGATGCAAGGGCCTGGCTTGTGTCAGGCTTCAAGCACAACCTGTGCTTCCGCCGGCACAGCCGCAGCTCCCCTGGTGCCCGGTAGCAAGGGGAAGCCCCCTCGTCCTCCCCAGTCTTCTGGAAGGGTCTGCCTGCACCCCGAGGGGTGAGAGAGCCCTGCCCACGGCAGCACCGTCCCAAGCGGCGCGGGGAAGCTTTCCCTAGCCGCTCCGGGGAGCCTTCGTCCTGCTCTTCTCTCGGCTGCGCCCCAGCTGCATCCTCCTCCTGAGCCTCCTCCTGCTCTTCCTCACCTTGAGGCCCATCTCCTTCAGAAAGAGGGGAGAGCCTCTGGGAAAAGGGAAGCTCGCAGGCCGGAGGACCCAACTGCCCTTCCATGGCAGGCCCTGCAAAAACACGAAAGAAGAGAGTGTGAGAGGAGCAGGACAGCAAGGGAGGAAGCATGAAGACGAGGGTGGCAGCAGCACAGGGGGAGGGTAAGAGGGAGATACAGATACATAGGGAGGTGGGGGAAGAGAGGGAGGAGGCTGGCGAGGAGGCACAGACACTAGAGTCTCTAAAACCTGGCATCACCAATCCCTTTCCCCTTTGGGGGGATCCTTGTGCTAGAGAAAGGGCCCAGATTGGCACTTCAAAGACTTTTTTGCCTGTGAGCCTGTTACCAGTACCCAAAATCAGCTGCTGTTCATAGCAGGGAGCAGTTCACTTCCTCAGAGGGCCTGCTCAGTTACCTGGGCAGAGTAACAACGGAGGGACTGGCCTCAAGCGTGTCCCCAGCTGTCACGGAGCGCAGCAGGTGACCGGCAGATGCCAGGCAGGAGTTTGAAAAGCTCCTCAGGGGATGCTTGGTCACCCTGGGTGCCTACGGGACCCCTCGTCCGCAACAAGGAGCTGCCAACCCTGCTGCAGGCGCATGCAGTGGGGGTACAAAGGGATTCAGGCCCCAGGTCCTGGATATTCCACAGCATGACATGGCTCTGGAATGTATCAGGGTGGTAAAGCCAACCCCATCCCGCGCTGCATCCACAGCAGCGAGCCAGCAGGTCAAGGGAGGGGATTCTCCCCCTCTGCTCTGCTCTGGGGCGACCCCCCTGCAGTTCTATGCACAGACCTGGAGCTCCCAACATCAGAAGGACATGGAGCTGTTGGAGCGAGTCCAGAGGAGGCCACGGAGATGCTCCGAGGGCTGGAGCCCCTCTGCCATGGGGACAGGCTGGGGGAGTTGGGGGGTTCAGCCTGGAGAAGGGAAGGGTCCGGGGAGACCTTAGAGCCCCTTCCAGTGCCTGGGGGGGCTACAAGAAAGCTGGGGGGGGACTTTTTCCAAGGGCAGGGAGTGACAGGACAAGGGGTAACAGGTTTAAACGGAAAGAGCGAGATTGAGATGGGACATCAGGAAGAAATTCTCCCCGCAGAGGGTGGGGAGGCACTGGGACAGGTTGCCCAGAGAAGCTGTGGATGCCCCATCCCTGGAAGTGTCCAAGGCCAGGCTGGATGAGGCTTGGAGCAACCTGGCCTAGTGGAGGGGGTCCCTGGCCAAGGCAGGGGGTGGGACTGGGTGGGATTTAAGGTCCCTCCCAACCCAAACCACTCCGTGATGCCATGATTCAGATCACCCTCTCAGCAAATGCTCCTAGACCTGTGTTTTTCCAGGCTACATCCAAGCCTGCTGATGCTTCCAGAGCCTGTCATGTAGCTTGACGAGAGACGCTGGGCTCCGATACCCACCTCAGGGATCCCCTGGGAGGGATTTGTTGTCCCTGTTCTGGACACCACATGCAGATCAGTTTAGCCAAGGGACGGGAAGAAGGTTAAAACATGACCCATGTCCCAAAATCCCACGTGAAATCGCACCTTGTGAGGGCCTGATGCACAGGCAGGAGCAACCAGCTAAACCAGAAACATCCCGGTGAGTGGCTGCGGGGTGGAGGGGACATCAGCTTTAAGAGCCTCCAAGCCCCACGAGCAGTCCCGTGACCTGACACTAACGTGGTGAGGAAGTTGCCGCAAAGCTAGGCATAAAACTGCCCTAAAAACACCTGAGAAGGGACTCTCACGGGCACAAGCAGGGAAAAGGCTGCCAGGGAATAAAAAGCAGAAGAGAGGAAAAGTACAGACGGGGAACGCAGCGTGCCACAGCCTTTCAAGGACCGGTAAGTGCGGGAGACCTTGGACCCCTGAGAACCGATGAACTCTGGACACAAAGACAACATGAACCTACCCAAGGCCACCGGCCCACTCTGGCATTTGTGCCAGGGGCAGGGGGCGGAATTCGGTGTAACTCAGTGGCTGCTAAGAACAGACAGGAGTTTGGGGGATTATGGACAGCCAGCAACACCAAGGGGTTTTCCAAAGGCTACAACACCCTGGTATCAGTGGGAGCCCAGCTTGGGATGGAGCTTCAATCAAGGGAAGCGGGCTACGAGTGAACGAGCTGAACACCGTTAAGAACCACTTTGACCCCATTAAAGCTCAGTGAGCGAAAGGTGCTTCACGAAACCCTGCTCTCCGCTCCCATCCGGGTCTCAAGGCACGGAGAAGGGAACTCCCAAGGCAAAGCAAGAGGATTTCCAGGCGTGATGTGGCCTTGCTGGCACAGAGTAACTTGCTGGCAGGAGCACTGGGATGGGACACCCCGAAAAAGCAAAGCCGAGGAACCCCACGTTGAAAAGGGAGGAGAAGGTGGTCACGGCCGATATTATGAACAGGAAAAGGTGAAGAGGATGGCAAGTTGAATAAATGAGAGGGACAGAGGTAGAAAAAGCCCTTTGAAAAACCCAAAGCCAGCAGAAATCCTTATTTAGCCCAAGTGGGATGAAGACTTTTGTACCCATAAAGCACCCCCCTCGAGTCCTTAAAGCAGAGATAAGACTTGGGATTACCCTCTCCCAGGACACACTCTCCTTTCGGAGACCTATTTGACCATTTCCCACCCGGAGCCTGCGGAGCTCTTCTTTTTGGGTGGAGACATCAGAAAGCTCCCCCCAACTAGCGGAAGGGAGAATGATCCCGCTGTCTCCGGTCCCTCTGCTCTCCAACCCAGGGAGTCACCTGCGTGGGTGGATAGGGATGGCGCAGAGCAGGCTGGGAGTAGGACACGGACACGGTGGGACACAGCTCGCAGGGAACACGGACAGCGAGACTCGCACGAGCAGATGAAGAGCCGCACAGCCGGCTTTTTGGGGGGAAAACACACTTCCCCGGCTCAAAAAAGCCAAATATAAGAGCTGGCTCCACTGCCGTCCGGACATCCAGCCCACGCCAGCGTGAAGTCAGGAGGGTGACACAGTCGGTGTTTTCTGGCGCTGTGTGATGGCAGCAGTGACGTCACCGAGGGGTTTTAGGGCTTCCCTACCTGCCGCGGTGCTGGGTACGGCTACGTGGGCGCCCCGCCCTGCATGCTGCGGGGACGGTAACGGGGAGAGGAGCGGAGCGAGACGCCGGCTATACTGGTGGCCAGGAGGGATCCACCACCGAGGGCTGGATTAAACTGAAGGGTTTCGGAGGATTTTGCTCCTGGGAAGGGATCAAAGCGTACAGGCAGTGCTCGCGGCGCTCAAGAGCCAGAGGAACAGAACCGGGCAAAGCAAGAAAAGCACAAGAGTGTCCAAAACGACATATCTGGGGGAAAAAAACCCAGAAATCAGCGTTTGCTGGAGCGGAGCTTCTACGTGCCAAAGCAGAGAAGATTAGGGGGTTCAGCCTGAGAAAGGGGACCATAAGGGTTCCAAAAAAAAGCTTACGTGCTCCTAAAACGCAGCAGGAGAGGTACTGCCCGGGTGGGCCGCACCGCGGC